ATGTATGGCCCTGTGAAAACTTTTGGCGGAAAAGTCGCTAACTCGGGAACCAAAAAACTGGGAGGCTAAAATTTTCAGATGATGTACCTCATCCATTTAGAACACAAAGATTTCAATTTCAGCTCCCAGGTGTGCGTGGACCTTACGTATGGCCCCGTGAAAGTATTTGACGGGAAAATTGCTAACTCGGGAACCAGGAAAGCTGGAGAGCTGAAATTTTTTCTCTCCATATACCACATGATAATTGTACAATTAACTTCCTGAAGCTCGAGGACCAGCATGTCACAAACTCTATCATTTGTGTTTCCAAGCGATCTTACTACAGCACGAAATACTGCAAAAACGCATGATCGCACGGGCCTGCCTGTCGCGTGTTACCAATGATTTACTTTTAAATTTTGTGCCATTTGCTAAATTGAGCAGAATACGTGGAAGCTACATATTAATAATGATTTTACAAAACCTCTGCAAATTCTACATTATGCATTTTCAGCGAACCAACAAATGGAAAAATTTGTAAGCGTTTGTTGAATTACATTTTTGAAAATTAAGTTTCTGCAGTTGGTCGCAACGCGGGCTCAGCAACAAATAATTTTCACGCATTTTCGTAGAAATCAAAGGGGTGAACACATATGCAATTGTGTGTTCATTTCTTTTATTTGTGTAATTATGCGCGCACGCCTCTTAGTCGGTATTTTGATCCAGGAGTAGCACATTCAGCACACAAGTGTATGTGTATACATGCATACATATATAAGCGCACATATTCCGGTAATATCTCGAAGCAATCAAAGCCTTGCCACATGTTTTTGTTAGGAGAATCTTTGAACTGATAGCCTTGCCAAAAGATGCGACGAAGTAAAGATCAGCGGCAGACTAACCAACAGCACAGGTCAAAGTGCTGAAAAAATTTTTCACATGCATGCTCTAAGAGTCAGACTGCGCAAGACTATTCATCCCAACACCCTGTGTTCTAAGATCATTTGTATTGCTTTTGTAAGACGCTGTTTATAGCTGGCATGCAATTCTGTCATACACGTCTTTCTATTCAGGCTTGCTTGCTTACAGTCAAGCGTCTCTTGTCTTCTGTGCATTGCCTTACCATCTTTGAAATGGTCGCGACAATGTGGTCTTTCGTTTTTTGTAAGCATCAGTGTAGGCACTTGCTGAATGCCAATAAGGCATTTTGTGCGTTTTTGCGTTTTTATGCGCTTTTGCCGTGCAGCGCTAGAGCGCTGCAACAGGCAGCAAAAACGCATATCGCAACTGTGTGTGTATGTGTGTGTGTGTATGTGTGTGTATGTGTGTGTGTGCGTGTGTGTGTGCGTGTGTGTGTGTGTGTCTGCCTGGGTATTTCAACTCGCCAACCACGCAAGCTTTGAAGCTGAAATTTTGCCAGTGTTTTCCCCAACCAAGTGCCGCCCCAGGATCGCGGTATCAACTCTCACGCACGTCTGGACCCCGCATACGAGCACGTGAAAGTTTTGGTGCGAAAATTACTAACCCGGGAACGTGAAATGCTAAAGAGCCGAAACCTTAGGGGAATGTCCCCTACCCGTGTACGACAGAAAGATTTCAAATTCAGTTGCGCAGGACCGCCCGGGGCTTACGTACGGGCACTGAAAATTATGGCGGGAAAATTCATAAATCGAGAATGAGAAAAGCTAGAAAGCTGAAACTTTAGGGGAATGTTCCTTACTCACGCACGACCAAAAGTTTTCAAACTCAGATCCCTAGGACCGCCCGGGGATCATCTATGGGTACGTGGAAGTGGAATTTTAAGAGGATGTTCCCCACACATGTACGAGCAAAATCAGGTGTTTGGAAGCGCCTGGGGCCCACATACAAGTGCGTGGGAATTTTAGCGTAAATTACTTACCCGGGGAAGGGAAAAAGCTAGAAAGCTGAAACTTTAGGAGAATGTTTCCTACTCGTGTAGGACCAAAATCAGGTGTTTAGAAGCGCCTGGGACTCATATACAGGCATGTGGAAATTTTGACGCGAAAATTATTAACCCGAGAACGGGAAAAGATAGGAAGCTGAAATTTTACGAGAATGTTTACTGCTTATGTAAGACCAAAATTAGGTGTTTAGAAACGCCGAGCCCACGTACGAGCGCGTGAAAATTTTGGCGCGAAAATTTATTAACTCGGGGACGGGAAAAGCTAGAAAGCTGAAACTTTCGGGTAATGTTTGCTGCTCATGTACGAGCAAAATCAGGTGTTTAGAAGCGCCCGGGGCCCACTTACTGGCACGTGGAAATTTTGGCGCGAAAATTACTAACCCGGGAACGAAAAAAGCTAGAAAGCCGAAACTTTAGGATAATGTTCTCTACTCATGTATAACCAAAAGATTTCAAATTCAGCTCCTTAAAATCGTCCGGTATTCACGTACAGCACGTAAAAATTTTGATAGGAAAACTGCTAGCTCGGGAACGGGAAAAGCTGAAGGCTTTAATTTTAAAGGGATGCTCCCTACCCATGTGCGACTAAAAGATTTCAAACTTAACTCTTCTAGTGCGGCCTTTTTTGCGGACCAGCAAATTTCCATTTGTCGGGTCACTCAAGTCGATACCTACAACTGACGTACCACATAGCTGCACAATTAACTTCCCGAAATTCGAGGGCCAGTACGTCACAGGGTAACAACTATGATTCCTTGCGATCATGCTACAACACGAAAAGTCAAAAACGCATATTTGCACCGATCCGCCTGGTGCGCTCGAGCCTGGGTTTATGCCTTTTGCGCTGTGTAACAGCAGGACAAAACGCATATTGTCACGGGGTTGTCTGTGTGTGTGTTTGTGTGTCCGCAGCAACTTGTCCGCAACTTTCAACTCGGGAACCACAAAAGCTAGAAAGCTGAAAAAAGGGGAACGTTCCCCATCCACGCGTAAACCCGCAAATATAAGTAAAAGACCCCAAAGGCTGTTTAGGCCCTGTGGGCGAAAGGAAGTAGGAATCAGAAAGGGCTGCACCGGTACTGGATGACTCTGAATAGGCCGTCCATTAGACGGCGTCGATTCAAGATCCGGCGACCATATTATTCGACTGGAGGGGGGAGGGAAATAAAATAAGGTAAAGATAGTGTGTTGCACATGCACAATAAATGGCAAGGCGTACCAGACTAGCCGGTGCGATCATGCGTTTTGTGCAATTCAGCCCATCGAACGATTGCCTGTT